GACTTGAAATAAGCTTGTTCCCTAACTAGAACTAATAAAATAAAATAATTTAAAAAAAAGATTACCCACTGGGCAAGAAAGTGTTCCTGCCTTGACTGCTGACAGTATGCTGTCCAAATTGGACACAAAAGAAATGACTGCCAAACTTTGCCAAGACAAGGTATGACAGTCAGAATATCCTGCTTCACAGAAAAGTCTGTCAGATATGCTAGACCTATAGACCAAAGATGGATGCCCCAACATTTCAGAAGAACCTTAGGTGACTGTCCAGGCAGCCAGCTGTTTCTGTCATTTCTCACATTTTTTTGGAAGTCTCTTGCTTATATTTCCTCCTTACTCGGGTAATATTATTTCCTTCTTGGGCCTCTGATGAAGTTGAAGACTATAGTTATAGTTACAGTTATAGTTATAGTTACAGTTATAGTTATATAGTTTTCCTTGTTACCAGATTCAGAAAAGAAATTTACTAAAGAAAGGTAACACATATAGGGTTGAGAGACATAAAAAGATAGTTTTTGGTAATTCAAGTTATGATAGAAAGTGAATTAGGTACAACCTTTTGTACTTACAAAAGATAGGATAGATATGGAGTATTTTATCTGAATTTGTCTACTGTTAATGGACTAGACATTGTTGATATGCTTATTGCCTATAGATATTGTATATAGCTATTTCTTATTGCATATAGTTTTTCTTATATTAGTTATAACCTTTTTAAAATTTTAGAGAAAAGGGGAAATATAGTGATATCCTGCTCATACTCTCAACCTTATACATTAACTTTTAATTTAAAACAATATTTATTATTTATTTGTGTATGTGTAATGGTGTGTATGTCGTGTGTATGCAAGTGTGTGCTGTGTGTATATGTGTGCTGTGTGTAAATGTGTGCTGTGTGTATATGTGTGTGCATTATGATGTATGTGTATGTGTGGAGTATGTATGTGGTATGTGGATGTATGATGTATGTGTAGTGTCTATGTGGTGGGGGGCAAGTCCCTTTACCTGCTGAGCCATCTCACTGGTTCACACTCTTAGTCTTGATTGCATTCTTTTTATTAATTTGAATTAAAAGTAGTGTCATTACTCAGAACAAAATGTCCAGCTATAATTAGCTCAGTAAAGTAATTTTGAAGTTTAAAAAAAAAAAAAAAACGAACCCTTAAAATGTGTGAGTAGCACCGTTGCTCACCAGCATACAAGGTGTAACACACATAGCAAATCTTCAGTTCTGTAGGGAAAGGGATGTGGTAACAACAGAGACCTTTTGCTTCTTATCACTTTAAAACACAGAATATAAATTTGACTCTAGGTTGCTAAGTCCTGCCCTTCAGACTCCCAGACAGTGGTTCTCAACTTTCCTAATGCTGCAACCTTTAACACAGTTCCTCATGCTGTGGTGACCCCCAACCATAAAATTATTTTGTTGCTACTTCATAACTGTCATTTTGCTACTGCTATCAATTGTAATGTAAATATCTGATATGCTACCCCAAAATGGGTGCCCACAGGTGGAGAACTACTTCTCTAAGTAATCTTTCTGTTGGCTGCATATGTGAATCACTACATATTGTAAACTAAATTTAAATCTACTTCAGGGTAATCTAGTGAACTGAACTAGCAGGAGAATTCCTGCCTTCAATTCCATACATACCAAAAAAGACAAATCCATACCAAGAAAGACAAATACTGTGTGTTGTCTATTTGGATTCTAACTCTAAATATGTATGTCAGTATATAGCCTAGAACCGCAGTTCTCAATCTGTGGATTCCAACACTTTGGGTATCGAACAACCCTTTCACAGAGGTCAACTAAGATCATCAAAAACCAGAGACATTTACATTACAATTCATAACACTAGAAAAATTACAGTTATAAAGTACCAACAAAACAATTTTATGGTGTTGGGTCAGCACAACCATAATTAACTGTATTAAAGAGTTGCAGCATTAGGAAGGTTGAGAAACATTGGCCTCTGCAGAAACCAGGAATGTAAAAAGGGACCAAATGGGGTTAGGCAAAGGAGCTCTAGAGGGGATGATGGCAGGACACAGGTTCTATGAATGCTGTGAATGGGAAAAACAGGGGTGGAGCTTTGACATGGGGTAGGAGGAAGGTGAACAACATTAAAGATGCTTGAAAAGATGTTGGGTATTAATAAAATAACTATTAAATAACTGCTTAAAATTACATATAATATTTATGTTTGTCTTAGTGTTTCTATTGTTGTGATGAAACACTATGACCAAAAAGCAAGTTGGGGGAAAAAAGAGTTTATTAGATTTATACTTCTCATCACTGTTCATCATCAAAGGAAGTCAGGGAAGGAACTCAAACAGGGCAGGAACCTGGGGAAAGAGGAACACTTATACTGTGGCAGGAGTATAAACACAGGCAGCCACCATGAAAATCCATGTAGAAGTTCTATAACATATAGAAATTGAACTACCATTTGACCCAACTGTACCACTCCCCCGCAGATGGAGATTCTTGCTCAGCCATGTTTATTGTTGCTCTATTCACAACACTCAGAAAAGGGAATCAGCCTAGATGTTAATCAACAGATGAACAGATGCTGAAAATGTGGCACTCATACAAAATGGATTTATTTTCATCTGTGTCTTAGTCATTGTGAAGAATCACCATGACCAAGGCAACTCTTCTAAAGGGAAGCATTTAACTGGGGGCTTGCTTACAGTTTCAGGCTTATGTATCACCCATCTCTTCTGTTAGACTTGGCAGGAGGTCAGGGGAGGGTAGAATTCCAGTAAACTAGCAAATAACTGAAGGACTTGTTAAAAGCAAAACTATTACATGTTATTACTCGGGTTTTTCATAGCACTACCTTACCAGCTGAAGTTAAGATGCCTAAAATTTTATTATGATTTATAATTAATTTATTGTTCATTTCCTACATGTTTCTTTATGTCACCTTTTAATATACTCACTTGCTGGAGGTCTGAGTGTTGTCTTCTGATTTGGTCCTAGAAAGAAATAGAAAATAGCATGTTAATTAGTAGTAAAAAAAAAATAAAATCTTAACTTTGTGAATATTGTTACCAATAAATAACACACAATGGGATATGAATAAAGCTGAGAATAAGTTATTTTAATGGTAGTTGAAACAGAACACAGGACCTTTTATAGGTAGGCAAGTGCTTTTTGGCAAAGAGCTACACCCTCAGTCTCTCAAATGACATGTGAATCTTTTTACGTACCTCAGGCACAGAAAAACACAAATTTTAAGCAGTGTGATAATGAGAACACAAAATTCCTGGGTTTTCTTTTTTCACTTATCCCTACAGTTTTGGAAGTGTGTGTGGAAAAGACAGGCAGACAGACAGACAGACAGACAGACAGACACACACACACACACACATAGAGAGAGAGAGAGAGAGAGAGAGAGAGAGAGAGAGAGAGAACTGGAAGTGTAGGAGTCCAGGGAACCAAGTGGTCACAGGCAAGAAAATCAGACCAGAAGGGAGATGCCTGCAAGAGCTACTGAGGCTTCATTACAACAGGTAGGAGGCAGAGACAAATCAGATTTCTGTGACTTCAAGGCCAGTCTGATCTATATAAAGAGCTCTGAGCCAGTCAGTGTGACATAGTGAGACCCTGACTCAAAATAAACTATGCCCAGAGGACTTGAACAAGTATTTTTCTAAAGAAGATACACACATTTTCAGTACCAGAAACCTACTTCTGTTAGGATGGCTAGAAAGGTCAGAAGTTGAGAGTGGAAACTATAGAGAGAAAATGAAGTTCTTGTTTTGGTTTTGATTTTTCAAGACAGTGTTTCTCTGTGTAGCTTTGTAGACCAGGCTGACTTCTGACTCACAGAGATCCACCTGCCTCTGCCTCTGCCTCTGCCTCTTGAGTGCTGGGATTAAAGGCTTGAGCCACCAGCACTCAGCTGAAAATGAAGTACTTGTGAGGATTTCCTTGGAATGGTTTCCCTGGAAATTAAAAGCACAACTACCAACCATCCCATCCAGAAATCCTACTTTGAGGCATTCTAAAAGAACTAAAGTCGAGATCTCAAAGTGACACCTACACCCCTTGTATTGTTCACAAGAGTGGAATGCCAAAGACAGGCAATCCTCCAGCTCATGCAGAGTAATACACAAACAGCAAGTTTGAGACAAACTTGAATTTGGGGCACCCTCTAACATGCAAACCGACAAAAGGGGGCTTAACAAACTTGAACTTGTGGTACCACTGAGTGCTCAAATGTAGAACATGGCCTGCTTAAAAGTCTTTGGTAAGCATGCCATAATCAAAACCAGATGACAACATTCATTAAGTATCTTATTTGGCATGGATGATACCACATATGAACAAGGGTCAGCAATTTCCAGGGCAGCATGGGGAGGTAGACAGCCACACAAAGGAGCATGAGGACCTGAAATCAGAGCCCTCAACATTCAGGCAGAAAGTCAAGCACATCTGTAACCTTGGAGTTGTCTGGGGACAGACACAGGAAGATGGCTTGACTAACACAATGGTGACTGTGTTGCCTTAACCACACTCCCAAACCAGTTGTATCTGCCAAAGTGCTCACTAACCAGGGCTTTCATGAAAGCCTCACACAATTAGATGAAATGTTGATACAGTGCCCAAAGTCCCAGGGAAATGCATCATTGCTTCTCCTGGCATCATATGTAGCAAGGTCCTAATGCTACTAAAAATGTAACTTCAGAACATAAATTCAATTTACTCGCTACTCAGGGATTCGTCTTCCTTGAAAAACCAGTGTTTCAAGCCTTTCCATGCTGTGATTACTAGTAATGTTGAGGTGAGAATAATTAAAGCAATGTACAAACTAAGAAGCCACTTCTTCTCTGTGTTCTTAGGAAGTCCTTGCATGATCAGATCTAAAAATAAAAGGTATGTTAAACATTAAAGAGTGTGATTCACTTTCAAATTGCAACAAATTCATTAAAATAATTTTTCTCACCAAGGAACACAGAAAACTAACTCTAGTAACACAATATTTGAAAATGTATCTAAAATGTTCCTCAGAACATATAAACAAAGTTTTGGAGGTTTCCAAAGTATTCTACATGCTCTGATGATTACAGTAAAGCCCCGCTGGAACCCTGTCAGTGCCTGAAAGCCAATGATCTGAATGCAGGTTGATTACAATAAGACTACCTAACTTTGATTTGTTACAGGGTTCTCAACATATCTCATTATGCTTGTCTGTCACCTCCTTTGAGGGTAAGAGATGACTGGCTTCTCATTTTAGGGCTGCATTTATATATATAAGAATATGGCGCTACCCTAAAGGGGTACCAGATAAAAATTGAGAAGCTTGACTCCAACGCTAATTCCATCACTTGTTGACAGTGCCTACCTGAGCCTGTCAGATCCTAAGAGTTCAAGAACAGAGGGTGTGAATTTGGGTGAGTGGGAAAATGGGGAGGATATAGGAGAGGCTGGGGAAGGGGAAACCATCAGAATATACTATGTGAAAATAAAAACTATTTTCAATTATGAAATAGAGAGTTCCAGCACACCTTTAATCCCACCACTTGGGATGCAAAGGCAAGTGGATCTCTGTGAGTTCAAGGCCAACCTGAACTACAGAGTGAGTTCCAGGACAACCAGGGCTACACAGAGAAACTTGTCTCAAAAAACCAGAAAGAGAGAGAGAGTTCCAGAACTACTTTCAAATCTAATAGGGGCATAAATGGCAGACACCAAAGACTGTTGTGGTAGTAGTTCCTCTGTTATTAACTCTCTGGGTGAAATTTACCATTTCTTTCGTGAAATCTACATCCTCTGTGTCATTTCTACTATAACAGAAACACAGTGACTGTACTACCTGCAGTAAACATTGCCTAAAGCTGAAGTCCCACACAATTTGTAAAGGTGGAAAAACTGATGGGAAACACCCCCCACCAAATGACAGATACAGCAGCATAGAGAAACAGAGAGCCCATGACACCTGGCTGGCTTCACACACTTCTAACAGAAATGATGAGCAAATTTAGGTTTTGGACCAACATTTATTCCCATTATTTGAGAAAAGTCTAATTGCCTTTTGATTCCAAACACTGTTAGTCTCTTCTCAGATGGCAAAATGTGGCTTTATTTAAATGGAACTGGGTGGTTTCAGAGCTTTTTCTCAATAGCTATTTAAAGACATAAATACTTGCCTTGCTTGGTAGGCCACAGGGCAGATCGGCTCCTTGATGAACAGTCTGGAGGTTTGAAACCCTTATCACAATGACATTCACCAAGCGAGTTGCATACCTAGGATCATTTTGAGAGGTGTAAATGAGGTGTTTTTTTTATTATGAAACTATGTGCTAGGCCATAATATTTATGTTTTCATCATCTTAGGCAAGTATGACCATGTTTGCATGACTTGGACACAATCTCACCAAGTGACCACTTGGTTCCGTGGACTAAAACTCACACATCAAAGGAACACTCGTTACAAAGCTGCAGCAGGAGACATATGTGCATCCAGGAGCTATGCCATCATCAGATCTTTACTCTGACATTTGGAGCTCAGTCTTGTATGCATGCATCCCCTCTGAGTCTAGCGATGGATGTGCTAGCGGCAGCTGACCCCAAGGCTAACATGCATGCACCTTCTCCATTTCTCAGATTCAGTGACTTCCTGCTGGCTGCTTCCGATATTGGCCTTTTCAAGCAAGGACCTAAACCTACCCCAAGGCTAATTGTGAAACTTTTACTAGCAAAGAACTGCTCTTCATGTAACTCAGCTTATGTCATCTTTGCTAGATCTAAATTTCAACGTAATGACAAGAATCTTGATGAAAAGAATCAGCGTCTTCCATGATAACAAATTTTCTAAATGCAAAGGAATTGAGATTTGGGGCAGAGAACCAAATGAAAATCTTGGCAGTGAAAGGAAAAATTATTTGCAGGAAAGCACCATCACTGACTAATTCAACAGAAAAAAACTAATGCCATAGACTAAAACAAGGTCCCAGAGTTTCTCTATTCAGAGATCAGTGTGAGGGCCCTGATAGGAACAACCAGGGGCTAGAAGAAGCTGAAGGTTCAAAAAGCCTGATCAACTAACTTAGAGCAGAAAATTAGTTATCCATGAAGATGTGGTATACAAGGACATTTAGAGCCACAGGCAGACATAACCAGAAACAAAACCTCTCCATGTGACATCCCAGTGACAAGATTGGGAGTACAGAATGATGCAAAAGATCCCTAAAGCCAAAGCCAGGTGTAATGTCAAGAGCCTATAATCCTGGCACTCAGAAGGCCGAGGTGCAAGAGACATGGGTTCCAGGCCAGCTTAGGCTACAAGATAAGACTTGTCTCAAAGGTTGGCCAGCGGGTACTCTTTAATATCAAATGATGCAGGCTAGCTAATTGAACTTAATAAAAGTAAATAAGTGAGCAGATGACTATTCTCTGAGGATAGGGGTGGGGCAGGGGGACACCACTTGCCCTGATAAACACCAATTGGTAGAAAGGGAAGCATGAAAATGGTGTGATGAGAAGGTGGAACATGAGAGTAAGCTACAGTGCCAAGTGCATGGGTGTGTCCGTTCTAAGTAATGTACGTGTCCTAAATTTATATATTTATACGTGTGTGTGTGTGTGTGTGTGTGTGTGTGTGTGTGTGTGTCCTAAATAATATACATCCTAGAAAGGTGACCACAAGCAAAAATTAGAAGCAATATGGGTACAATTCATCAAAAAGATAGAGTGGTTGCCGACATAAATGTGCACTGAGTATCAGCTCTCCTGGTTCCATTAAAAGAAAGATTATTGCCTATAAAGAAATAGGTGGGTCAGATGTGATAATGGGAAATTTGAACACCTCACCTTTATCAATATGCAGACCAAAATAAACAGAAAAAGAGAAACTTCAGATTAACTTAGATTAACTTAGAAGACACAGAAAACATTCCATCTGACAGAGAACTAACATTCTTCTCAGTGGCTAGACAAACTTCCTCCAAAAATCACACTTTGGCAAATAAATCAAGTCTTAGCAAACACAAAAACAATATTTTTTTTTATCTTGTCAGAGCAAACTGGAATGAAACCAGGAAGGACAGCATCTGAGAGACAGCATGAGAGAGGCTTGAACATGAAGATTTAACCACACACTTTCACTTTTGACTACTTTTCTAATTCTTTATCAGCTTCATACATTATGTAGTAAGTTTGGGCATTTTCACTCCCTGCTGCCTTCTCTCTTCCCATCACCTACTCCCCTTGTGTGGAAACCCTAGTCCTACCAGCACCTCCTTCACTTTTTAAATTTTCCTCTGACAGACTGAGTTTCCTTGTGGTTGCTTCAGTGAGCATGTGTCTGGAGCATGGACGACACGACACATCAGTGGTCACCCAACAGAAGGAAATAACATGCCCTCCCCTACTGCCAGATTAACTGCCTGTAATCCCTCAGTAAGGAAAGGGGCCTCGTGAAACCCTCCCCAATGCATGATGCCATGGTAACCAAATCCAGTTCTGCTCGGGCAAGGGCAGTTGAGAGCAATGGCTGTGTGGTCTCCAGAAGAATATTCATGGCACTTCTCCCCAGTCTCTTACGCTCTTTCTACCCCTCTTCCTCAATGTTTTCTGAGCCTGTGGGGAGAGGGGTGTGGGGTCTAGACGCCTTATTTAGGACTGAGCATCCCACAGTCTCTTACTCCCTGCACTCTGACCAGCTATGAATCTGTCATAACCCTTCAAAAAGAATCTTCCCTGGCCAAAGCTGACAGGGGCGTTGATCTATGGGCACAAATATTTAGGGGAACATTATGTCCACTTGGTAAAGTGACCATAGCAGCTTCGCCTTAGGGTCTTATAAACTCTCCAGGCATGGGCTCTCAACCAGGTTTTACATACAGTACCAGGTTCCCTCCTGTGGAGCAGGCCTCAATCCTCGTCAGAAAGCAGTTCATTAACTCATCATACTCAAGCCATTATTGCTCCAGTGGGCATGTCTTGACAAGCAGATCATTATTGTAGCCCATGGGATGCACAAGTAGGTGGGCTCTCTCAGCTGCTTGCCAGCACTTCACAGCGCTGTGAGAGCTAGACAGTACAGAGAAAACTTCAGCATCTACCCCATTTTGATTTCTCAGTGCCTTGCAATCAAAGTGTGCAGTGCCTTCAACCACAGTGTCCTATGTTCTTGTGCTGGTGGACAACCAGGGACATTGACCACAGCCTCTAAGGTTTTGTGGGTGCTCTGAAAACAACCCCCCCCCCCCCCACCCCCGCTGAGAAAAAACTCACAGGGAGCTATCCCATACCTAATAGTTGGATTATCATTTAATAGCTCTTGGCTTCTTGAAAAAACATTATCCATCTATCCAAGAAAACAAGCAGCAGGAAATACTGGCAAGGATGCAGAGCAGAGCATGAGCCCTTCTACACTATTGCTAAGGAATTTTTGTGTTAGTCAGCTGCATCACATCTGGATGCATGACCTGAAAGAATCAAAGACAGTTTCCTACAGAGGCGACTACTACTACTATACTACAGATTGTAGTATAGTCGCAACAGCTGAATTACGAAGTTAGCCTACATGAGTACCAATGGATGAATGAATAAAGAAGAAGTACATCTACTCGGAACCTCCTTCAGTCATAAAGAAGAATGAGATTGCATCACGTGCACAAAATGGGCACTATCATGCTATATGAAACTTGCCACTCAGCTGTAGCAAGAGATGAATGGTGAGGTTCCCCTGCCCCCTAAACCCTATGACATGATACCGCCCACACTCAGGGTGGGGCTTCCCACCTCAGTTAAAACTTTCTTCAAACTCCTTCACAAAAAAAATCACTGGGTGACTTTAGCTCTCGTCTGGCAATGAAGAGTCACCATCACCAGTTCCCTTTCCTTGGCATTGGTGCCTGTACTGGTTACTTTTTGGCTTTCTGAGGACAGCCATTCTGACTGAGGTGAGATTTCACGTTGTTGTTTAGATTTTCATTTCCTTGATAACAAATGAGAGTGAGATTTTTGTTGTTGTTGTTGTTGTTGTTTTCAGACATGTGTTGGCTACTTGTATTGTTTCTTTGGAGAAGTGTATGTTCAGAAACATTGTGAAGTCAGGAGAGGCTTCTGAGGCTGCTGGTAGTTAGGGAAAAAAGTAGGGTAGGTAAGCCAAACACAGGGTTTTGGAGCAGCCCACACTGCATGGTGTGGTGTTAGTGGATGCTGTCATATGTTCATCAAAGCCCACAGATGAAAGACACAGAATTTCTAAGATTCTAGTGCTAAACACCAGACTTTGGGTGACAATAACCTGTTGAAGTCTATCACCAGATATAACAAATGTAACACTGTGCCGTGTGACACTGACCATGCGGGGGGGGGGGGGGGGGGAGAGGGGGGTGTCAGATTTGCACTTGCCACTCAGCTTTTCTGTAAGCATAGAGATGTGTTTTCCTGTAATATAAAGATGTATTTTCAGAGAAAGACAAAGCTGATGTCTTTATGAACCCACAAACTCACAAACAAGAGACTTACCTCCTTGTTACCACAGGCTACTCAGATTCTTAATGCCTTTGGGTTTTCCAGTGCCCCACTGTAACAGGGTTTTGGTTTTGCTTTTTGTTTGTTTGTTTTTTTAAGTCAATCGGACTTAACCAAAAGTGTTTTTTAATACTAATTCTAGCAGCAGAGTTTGACTGTTCAATTCATCTCCCACGTGACAATAGGCCTTGGCACACTGGACACCAAATGAGACCAATAAATTGCTGATGCTGAGAAACATCCAAGAAACAGGCAATTACTTACTCCTCTTCCATTGCACTTGTTTGTACATATGCTGAACTTATCCTTTAAAAATCTTGTTTCTGAGCATATGTTATTTAAACAAATCTAAAGAAAACAGAAAGAAGTATCCAATTCAGAGGTCTCCAGCCATCTTAATATTGTAATTAGAAATTTGATATCAAAACCACAACCATTCACTGCTGTAATTTGAGTCTAGTAATTTTGCAGCATCCCTCAAATGTTGGAGTCATACTTCTACTAGTTTAAAAAATAGTATGCACACACATATATATGTGCATATATATATGCACATATATAAATATAAATATTGATTTTTTGTGTGTGACAGGGTTTCTTTGTGTAACAGCTCTTGCTGTCCTGGAACTCACTCTGTAGACCAAGCTATACTAGAACTCAGAGATCTGCCTCCTTCCACCTCCCAAGTGCTAGGATTAAAGGTATATGCCACCATCATCCATAAAATATCTTTTAAATTCTATTGATATTTGATTTTTGACCAGTGTGATATTTAGGAATATTACACTGAGTATTTGGAGATTATCCAGGTACACCTAGAGTGGTCTGAAGACTTGGAATATCTATCTGTGGGCTCATTGGTTGTAACAAGTACACTGCTATAATGTCAGTGGTGAAGAGCTAGAATACAGGAAGAAACAGAAAAACCATGTCTCCACTGAAATTTTGCTATGAATCTAAACCAAAAATATATGGGCTGGTATTTTAAATAACTTTCATGTGGTCTGGGAAGTCAATAGCTATAATAAAATATAACATGTTTCTGCACAAACACGCATATGGTCAGAAATTAAATGAGATTTTGAGGTAAATTCATTCCCTTTGTATTTCCTGCAGGTTTGTGTGGTGAAATATTATTTATTATTTAATAAAGTCACTGGAGATCAAAATGCAAAGCTACCCACAAGCCATTAAAGGTCAGACAGTGGAGATACACACTTTTAATCCCAGAAGCTATACTAGATACCCATCTAGCTAATCATAGAGCTAGGTGTGATGGCATACACCTTTAACCCCAGGACTCAGAAGTCAGGCAGGTGTGAGCTACAGGAAATTGATCCTGTCTTAAAAAGGAACAGTTCACACAAAGGTGATCTCAGCACTTGGGATCGTACACCTGTAATTCCAGCACTTGGGAGGTATAAAAACAAAGAAGCAAAGTCAGTCTTGGAGATTTATTTTCCAACCACACTGAGAAGAGGACAGCCCTTTCAGCCTGAGGTAGGGGAAAGAGCTAGTAGCTGGCTGCTTTGCTTTCTGATCTTCAGTTTGAAGATTAAACCCCAGTATCTGTATCTGGGTCTTTTATTAATTGTGCTACAGGTTTGAGTTGGGGCCACTGATGCAAATTAAAATTAGAACTATCAGCCAAATTATACTTAGCTCAAACTATGTGCTAGGCATTGTTCTATCCACATTATATAATCTCCTTTAGTCTCCGCAATAGCCCTATAGAGTAAATGTTGTTATTATTCTCCAAAATTACTTCTAGAAACATCTCACATTGTTCAGGTAACTGATTAAATGTCATACAATGACTCTAAGCATCCCGGTTTCGAGGGTGGCCTAATCCACTCCACTAAGCCACAAAGACTAAGTGAATGGACCGTCTATGGAGCCTCTGACAGTGGAACCAGTATTTATCCCTCGTGCACAAATGGACTCTGAGAGCTCATTCCACATAGAGGGATACTCTCTCAGCCTAGATACATGGGGGAAGGCCTAGACCCTCCCCCAAATAATATGACAGACTTTGATGATTCCCCATGGAATGCCTTGCCCTCCCTGGGAAGCAGATGGGGAGGGTGAGATGTGGGGGCTGGGGGAGAGGGTCATGGGAGGGAGAGGGAACTGGGATTAATATGTAAAATAAGATTGTTTTTAAATAAAAGAAAAAATGAAAGATTATTTTCTACACTATGAAGTACTCAAGCACAATCTAGACCCAGAGGTTCTCTTCTCCATATTCTATCCCTTAAGTCCTAAAGGAATTAAACATTTCTATTTCTCTATTACTAGCTAAACCTCAGTTAAATGCATTCGTTTCTCCCTCCAAATATTTAGGGTTACATGGTAAAAATCAAAGCTGGATATTTTAATCAGAAAATGATGACCAAAATAATAAACGAAACTAGATTTTTAAGAAACTGATTAAAAGTGACTTACCCTATCTTGGTCACATACAGAGCCACTAATGACCTTGAGTGGGTCATCTTTGACGTTCGATCCATAGTCTACACTGATACATACTTGGTCCCGTACAAAAGCATAAATCACAGAGGCGGTGCTGATGTTAGGTGGGTTATAGGGAATTCGGCTGGGATAAGTACAAATTAATCTCCCACATATGAGATTCCTGAAAACATAAAAATGATTAGTGTGCACTAGGTGGTTATTAGAAATGCTTTATCATTTCTTTGATTAAAAACCATGACTCTTCATTTATGCTAACATAGACAAGATATGATTTGTTTATATAAATATTTAAGGTACAAAATTTAAACCCACTGATGCAAAGCATTCATTATTATTCACAGTCTTTTCTTTATTCTGTGGATTATATAATTACTGTCACATAATTGATTAGAAGCAGAGAATAATAAATAAATTTGATAAATATACCCTCATGCCCTTACTGATATCAAACATGATAAAAAAAATCCTACCATAATGCCATAAATAAAATAAGTCCTATAGAAATTTAAGACAAGGTGTTATTCTAGTTTATCAATTCCAGAAAGCTCTGTTGACATTACAGAGCCAACACTTACAAGTCAGTTTTAACCAGGAAGCATAAGCAATCCAAGGAAACCTCAAGGGCCATGGTATGTTTAAGAACCTACAAATGGCATGAGCATGTGTGTGTGTGTGTGCATGCATGCATGTGGGGTGGTGTGGGTGTGTGTATGTGTCTGTGTGCATGTGTGTGTCTGTGTGTCTGTATGTGTATATGTGTCTGTGTATGTGTGTGTGTGTGTGTGTGTGTGTGTGTCTGTGTCTGTGTGCCTGTGTGTGTGCTGCCAACTATTATTTAACCCAGTGTCTAGTACATAACAGGATCTTAATATTTTTACTATACTCAAACAAAATATGAAAAGGTTCTCTCTGAGGATACATGAGAAATTGAGCTTAATTTCATATACATGTAGTCAATCAAAGGGATCATTTTTAAAGAAAGAGAAACAGTAACTTTGGAGGGAAAGGCTCTGTGGGCATTGTGAGTATAAGTTTTAGATTGGATTTAGGGGCCAAATGATCACCTACAAATAAATACTCTGTGTGTTATCTTGTAGCAGAACAATGTCTAGGCCTAGACCTTTGTTCGAGTTTCCAACTCACTGCTGTACAAATGGGGTACTTGAAATAACTGGACTTAATGGTATATACTAACGAGAAAAGCTAAATAAAAAAGAATATAAAACATAAAAGTATTGTCATTTTGTGTGGCACACCTCCATCCGCAGAATATATATTTGTTTTGTTTGTCTTTACCACAGTTGCCAAACCTATCAGTTTGACTCTGAATTTCTTCATAGCAGGAAAATGGAGCATTCCGTGAACCTATCAAAATTAGAGATATATTTAGATTAATATATATGCATATATATGTACATATATATACATATATATATAATGTTCCTCCATGTCCTCATACACCATATTTCCTTTACCTCTGTATCTATTATTACCTAACTCAAAAGGTTTCTTAGTAAGTTATAAGGACAGAGAAAGAAGGAAGAGAAAGGTGTTCATGACTATAGTTAATGCTGCTTTGCTACACTGTATTCACTTCCAAAATATAGAATACAAGAGAAGGAAGAGATACAAATGTGTGTATAGAGGAGAGGACTTTGTCAAAGAAAGCAACAAAAGGCACCATTGTTTAGTGGGAGGTAAGTCTTCCCAAATGTCTTATTGCTGAGGGCTTTGTCTTGGGGACTGTATGAAATCATGGAAGAGTAACTGCATCGTAAGTATCTGCTCTAATCAGGGGAATTAATCCACTGATAGATTTGCAACTTAGGGGTGTTGATAGGAGATGCTAGAAAATAGGAGATGGGTTAGGTTCTGAAACATAGGAGGTAAACTGGTTGGTTTTAATGTCAACATGACAATAAAGAAAATAGGATGGGGGGACTGGAGAGATGGTTCAGAGGTTAAGAGCACTGGCTGCTCATTCAGAGGTCCTGAGTTCAATTCCCAGCAACCACATGGTAGCTCACAACCATCTGTAATGAGATTTGATACCCTCTTCTGGCATGTAGGCATACATGCAGAGAGGACACTGATACCTTTAAAAATACATAAATAAATAAAAGGAAAATGGAATGGGAATAGTGTCTAGGTGAAGGACTATCTGGATCAGGCTGGCCTGTGGACATGTCTTCATGAGGTTTGATGTGGGAAGACACAGTTCACCATGGGTGGCATTAGTCCCTATGTTTGGGTCCTGAACTGTATAAGTACAGGGCTAAGCACAAGCAAGCATGCATCATTCATTCTCTCTGCCCTTGACAGTAGATGTGCTGTAACAAGCTGTCTCAGTCAACTCATACTCTCCTGAAATAATGAACTAGAGCCTGGAACCATAAACTCTCAAACTCTTTCTCCCCCAAGTTGTTTTAGTCTGGGTATTTCATCACAGCCACTGGAAATGAAACTAGTAAGGAGAGTATGTCTTAGATACCCTTTTCCATTAGTATTAAAGACTCACTTTTAATCAAACTTAGTTCCCCACAGTGAGACTGAGATGTTAAAAGGAAATAATTTTGCAAATGTGAAGTCATCAGATAAACTTTGCCTTAAACCTGGGGTTTTTACCAAGTCTCCTAAGTAATAGAAGTCGCCTATTCAGGAACAAGATACTGTATTTCAATTCCCGGTACTATATCATCAAGTCCTATGAAATACAATCAAATATAATAGATGCATTTTAATAGATTGCTTTTGATAGAGGGGGCTAGGGTAATAAAATATTGTATATTTTATTTATAAGTAAATAAAATATTGCACCTAACCTATTAGAAGATAAAGTGGGAAATACCCTTGAATTAATATGGAGAAACAAAAGACCGAGAATAGTCAAAACAACCCTGTATAATAGAGGAACTTCTGGAGGCATCACTATCCCTGACTTCAAGTTCTATTACAGAGCTATAGTCCTGAAAACAGCTTGGTATTGGCACAAAAATAGACAGGTAGACCAATGGAGTAGAGTTGAAAACCCTGATATTAACCCACACACCTAGGAACACCTGATTTTTGAGAAAAAATCCAAATTTATACGCTGGAACAAAGAGAACATCTTCAACAAATGGTGCTGGCATAACTGGATGCAAACATGTAGAAGACTCAGATAGACCCAAACCTTTCACCCTGCACAAAACTTAAGTCAAAATGGATCAAAGACCTCAACATGAACCCAGCCACGCTGAACCTATTAGAAGATAAAGTGGGAAATACCCTTGAATTAATTGGTTCAGGAGACTGCTTCCTGAACATAACACCAGTAGCACAAACACTGAGATCAACAATTGATAAATGGGACCTCCTGAAACTGAGAAGCTTCTGTAAGGCAAAGGACACAGTCAACAAGACAAAACAGCAGCCCACAG